CCTATATTATAGTATAAGTACGTAATAGTGTGGATAGTCCGTTAGCTTCAAAAATCGTTATCCACTTAGAGATTGGCTTAAACAAGTCATAAGGATGTATTTCAGGAAAATATTTTAACTTCTATAGGGTAGCTCAAAAAAGTGTTATTGGATCGGGATGATTTTTTTAAATGGAACACTCTGTATATTATTGAATTTTTGGCTTCCTTTCAGACCACTTTACATCAGACCACTTTACATGAAAGATATGAATGGATATGTTTCGATTTCAGATATATTCGGTTTCAGAGATATATTAATAAATAAATAAAAAATATATATTTTTCAGCCTTTCTTAAAATTCTTTTTAAAAATACAAGAACTGTCCTCAAATCAAAACTATATTATGTATTTACGTTAGATGGTCTGGTACTTACTCTGCTATAAATATCTTAATCCGAAATCATACAGGATGTTTAAAATTCTACACCAAACTTTCTAAAATATAAAATAGATTTTCTTCGTTTTTTTTATATTACTTTTTTAATAAATGGGGAATTAAAAAATGAACATTTTTTGTATTAGAGTATTTCAAAATTTTTAACGGTTTTGCAGATATTCGCGGTTTGGTTTGATTTAGTTATATTTCATATAGCATATATTTTCCATAGTAAACTTTTATCAAAGCCACCAAATAATTTTTCTCTCGTATTTTACTGTTGAAAGATCCATATGAAATAATACCGCGAGTATCTGCGAAGCCGTTAAAAATTTTAAAATACTCTAAAAACCTAAAATGTTCATTTTTTAATTATCCATCTATTAAGAGAATAATATACAGGGTGTTCCATTTGAAGTAAAAATTATTTTATATTTTATAGAGTTTAGCGTAGAATTTTGAACACCCTGTATGATTTAAGATTACGAAATTTATAGCAAAATAAGTACAAACCATAAAGTAAACACCTAATATAGTTTTGATTTCATTTTTTAAAAAAGGCTGATTTTTTTTATATATTTATTAATATCTCTGAAACTATCAAAACTTATTTAAAGATATCTTAAGATTATGTAAAGTGGTCAGAGAGGAAACCAAAAATGTAATAATATACACGGTGTTCTATTTATAAAACATTATCCTAATCCACTCACACTTTCTTGTGTCACGCTGTAGAGGATAAATTATTTTCCTGAAATACATCCTAATATACACTTTAGGTTTGAACTTAAAAAAAATAGTCTTTTCAGTTGTCAATTATCTTCATATTTAAGTGAAATCGAAAAAATATAAACACAATTTAAATATTTTCACAACAAAAAGATTTCTTTACCTTTTTTACAGTTTGTATTCATACCCAATTTTCCAACACGTCTTTCCATTCTATCCAAACTATCTCCATATACATTAGCACATCATCTCCAGAGTCCTTTTCTGCTCCTTGGCAGACGGGAAATTTGCCTAGGCTGTTACCGCCAGGCGGAAATAAAGTAGATAAATAGAAAGTCTATGTTTGCCACGAGGCCTCCCCAGGGCTTTTCAAAGGACAAGGCGAGTAATCTTGGTAAACATGGAGTCAGATTGCGTATTAAGGTAGTTGAGGGTTTGTTTCTCCTTACTACGTGTTAATAATAGCATGATGTTTCCTTTTGTTTGGGATAAAATAGGTAGTAGTTTCAACTTCAAGCATTAAAATTCCTAAAAGAATTATGAATCAAAAATATTAAATATGATAATGAGCCACCCCTGTTCCCCATTTGAAATAAAGTATAAAAATACCGATGGTGCCATTTAAAAATCAAAAGATGTAATCATTTCCGGTGAAACAGGAAGTGACCAAAACATACCAAATCTCGTTTTTTTTATCTGAAAAAATAAAAAAGCTATAGGGGGTGAGCCACTTTAATACTACCCGGTATAATATGTTAACAAGCTCTCATGTCTTCACAAGCTCTAAATTTTTTTGAATTATTACCTTTAAAGTAAAGTGTAAAACAGCGTCTACACAATGCGAAAAACTCTTCGAAACAGGTCAAAGTCGCATTTCGCCGCCCAACTTTGACGCATTTCGATTGTTGACCCACTTTTTTGATTGTTGACCCACCCCCCGGTTTGCCTCGACTTATTTTCGATTCTTAAAACAGCTTGAATACTACTCATGAGGAGGGCGTGGGGGGATTTTCGTTGGCGTTTTTTATTGCCTCGTTCAATTTTATTTTGTTTTGAGTTACGTGGCCAATACGTGGCGGTATCTGTATCCGAGGCAAAGGATTTTTTTTTCATAAATCTCAGTGAAATAAATAAACCTAGACGTTTCTAAAGTAGCTGCTCTCTGTTACGATGATACTTCGTTAATTACATCTCGTTTTATGGTATATTGATATATATTCCACAAAATTAATATTTTAACACGCGTTTACGAACAAAACTTTTCACTTAAACTGGCAGGAATATAAATATAATATTTTTATGATTTAATTTTATTATAATAAATTAGTATATAAAATTGTATATGATATGCCTGTTTACGGCCTTTATTGATTAATATAAGAGTAGCATTGCTTGATGAGTAATACTGGTTATTTATTTATTTATCGTATGGCTATACATGAAAGAAAAGAAAGAATTTTAAACATAAACATAAAATAAACTACAACGTAAATGAAAACATTACAATGTAAATATAAAAAAAACAAGTATATGATAAAAAGACATCATAAAAAACGTATTTACGAACACTATATATTGACATCTAGATGCCCTATCCATTCCAAAGCTGCTGGAGAAGCCTCCAGAAAGTCCCCCCAGACTTCACTATAAGCGCGTAGGTTGCACTCTCTAGTTAGATGGTGGATGGTTTGGTGAGGGGATCCGCAATCACATTCTGGGGAAGGTATTTTACCCCACTTATAAAGGGAATCCGCACATCTTAGATGGCCAGAGCGTATCCTATTCAAAGTTGACCATGTTTTCCGGTTTAGATCGGTACCTGGTATCTGGTAATAGTTATTTTCGAACCAGGAGTATAGGTGCGCATCGGCCATTTCTCTCCATAACTGAAGCCACTGTTATCGAGAATTGTAGTTACTACTTTTCAGCTGTTCAGCTGTTCGCAAAGGTGGGTTTCTCGACTTCAGTCTATTTACCTGTAAAGCAGGAAGTGTTTCAGGAACAGGGAGCGTTGGGGTAGCTATTATTTTATCAATTTCTCTAAGAAGAGCCTCGTTTCTGCGTAGATTTGGAGGTAGAATGTTACTCAGAACTGGAAGCCAGTAAGTAGGTGATCTGATTGTCCCTATAATCAGCCGCATGGTGTTGTTCAGCTGTCTGTCGACGAGATTTGTGTGGTGGCTGTTCAACCACAAGGGTGCACAATACTCTGCTACACTGAATACCAGACCAAGGGCGGAGATCCGAAGTGTTGCTTTTGCACCCCAAGAAGTACCACGAAGTTTTTGTATAATATTGTTTCGTGTTCTGATTTTACCAGCACCATTTTCTAGGTGTTTTCAAAATGATAGTGTACGTTCTAGAGTAATCCCCAGATATTTTGGATATTTGTTGTGACGCAGAGTGGTGTTAACAAACTAGACGCTTATTTGAGCATTCGCCAGCTTGTTATTAAGATGGAAGGCAGCCACTTCTGTTTTATTTGACCTGGGTTGAAGTCTCCATTTTATAAAATAGGCATTCAAGGCTGCGAGATCCTTTGTCAGTGTTTCTTGTGTTTGGTATAGCGATTTATGTTCAGTTGCTATAGCTATATCGTCTGCGGAACAAAATTTTCTTGATTGCGTATCTGGTAAGTCAGAGATGTATAAGTTGAATAAGAGAGGGGTAAGGACGGAGCTTTGGGGTAAGCCGTTGTTAAGTTTTTTAGGTTTACTTGTGCTCTCCCCTAAAAATACTTGGATATATCGGTTACTTAGCATGTTGTTGATAACTCTAGCTATAGTTTGACAAGGAAGCGCTTTAAGTAATTTATAAACCATACCATCTCTTCAGACTGTGTCGTAAGCGGCTGTTAAATCGACAAAAGCTATGGAAGTTTTAAGCTTAAGTTGGAAATTTCCTTCGCAATGCGAGATGTGAGTGCTAGGACTTGGTTACAGCCACTGCGTTTAGGACTGAAACCTGCCTGTTCAACTGGAATATGGTCTAAGATACTATCCTTAATTCTATTGAAAATAAGTCGTTCTAGGAGCTTATAGGTACAACTGAAACTGTAGTAATACTGGTAACATTATCAATATATCCACTTGGGAATTATTAATTAACCCGATGTCAACAAAAGTATGGTCTACGGACATTATTTAAAAGCAATGTTCTTTTATTGTTCTTAAGAGAAATCTGTAAACGATACTTTTATTAACACCCAGCATAGTTTGATATAAATCCATTCAACTAGTATTTATTATACAGGGATCTAGATAATTAAAACTGGAAAAACAAAACAAAAAAAATTCGTAAACTAAACTTTACTACAGACTACAGTATAAATGTTACTTAACCATAACCAGAAAAAAATAAATAATTAGACGATTTTTTAAATAATTTTGTGTATATTTTGTTCATGACGCGCATTATAAGCCAATAAATGGTAAACCGCTAGTTAGTTACTGTGAAATGATTAAAACTAAATAATCTTGTGTAACCTTCGAGGAATAGCCAATTTAATTTACCATCGATAACCGTTTTTATATCAGTTTTTCATGTTTACTTATTTTTCTGAAGCAACCACAACGTTTGACCTTGATTGTCTCGTGCTATTTCACAAAATAGTACGATAAGTATAAGCCCGTGTTATAAAAATTAGTTCCCATTAGTCTGGTTCTATTACAGGAAACGTGAGAACTAATTTTTATAACACGGGCTTATATTTATCGTACTATTTCCAGAAATGTTTTGCGAAATGTTTCACGAAATATTTTGTAAAACATTTCGGGGATAGTGTAGAGGCTGTTTTAGAAACATAGTTTTATTACAAAATACCTTTTTAAACTTTGAAACTAATTTGTTGCAGGTGTCTCCCATTTGACGAAAATTCTCGAAGATAACGGAACTGAGCTCATAATAGTCGATCAGGTAAGCGATAAATTTTTATTAACTTCTAAAAATGACAGAACTTTGTATGCACTGCACGGCGGACTCTATCAAAAACAACTAGTAAAAGAACAATTTAAAAGCTATGTTATTGGAAAGAAACTTTCTTAGAAATTGTTCTTTCTTGTTCGAAAGTTTTAACTTGACGTACTCAGCAAACTAATATTAAATTAATTAAAAAATATGAGCTGAAAATTTAAAAAATATTTAGATCAATGTATACCGGGTGCGTTTCAAAAGTGGCTCACCCTTATAACTTTTTTTTATTTTTTCAGATAAAAGAGATTTGTTTAGGTTAGGTTAGTATGTTAGTATTTGCCATAAATTAGGATTAATTGACGTATTCAATTATTTTCGCCCACTTTCTGTTTTACCGGAAATAACTACAACTTTTGATTTTTAAATGGCACCCTCGGTATTTTTTTACTTAATTCGATAGAAAAGGACACTCTGAATATAATGACATATAATATGTCCACTTTTGGTGGACTATCGTTCCACTATTTCGTTAATTTCGTTTCGTGAAAGCGTGAGATTCTATTTCCTTGTGTTTGATTTCTATTTATTTTTCTATATTTATCTTTTTCATCTTGTGTTTTTATACCACTTTGCACTAATGCTCGTCTTTGTTCAATTTTTAGCATTGTGTTGTCAGAAATCCAATGTTTGTTTCTTGTTTTTTGTTGTTTAGTTGTCGAGAAGTGGCATTACTCAGACAATTTTTAAAGTCTATCCAAACCTGTTGCGGTTGGGTGTTCTCGTTAATGTTCCACGATGTTTTCAGTAGTTCTTGTTGAAAATGTGTTATGTCGGGGATCTCCATCGGCTTCGGTTTTAGTTTTCTAACAACATTTTTTAACTTTGCTGTCAGTAACTTGTGATCCGAGCTACATATTACTCCGGGGTAAGTCCCTACTGTCCTGAACGAGGTTCTCCATCTAGAGTTAGAGAAAATATAATCTATCTGGTTGCGTACTGTCTTCTGGACTAGCCCACTCCTGGTGTAGAGCCTTCGGATATGATGTTGAAATGTTGTGTTCATTATAGTTAGATTGTTTTCTAATTGCAAAGTCAAGTAAGCGTTCACCCCGTTCATTTCTTATACCGACACCATATTTGCCCACAATAGTTTTAATATGTTCGTTATCAGTTGTCTCTCCAATTTTGTCATTGAAGTCGCCGGTTACTATGGTTAGCTCTTTGATCGGAATGTTTTGTAGAAAACTTCTTAGTCATGGTAAAAATGGTCAATGTCGACATTGGTCGAAGCAGCAGTTGGAGCATACAGCTGAACAATATTTATTGGGTTTGGCTTGGCATTCACTTTTAAGGCCATGATTTTGTCGCTTATAGCTTTAAAATCCAAAACATATTTCTGTAATTTTTCGGATACAATGACCGCAACACCAGTATAATTTTGTTGATCGGCGCTTGAAAAGCAGACATAGTTATTAAGACTAATTTTGAAGAATCCTTGACCAATCCAATGTGTCTCCGACAATCCTGCAATATCGATTTTGTGTCTGGACAGTTCCTTTTCTAAAATTCCTAGTTTCCCGGTATGACTTTTAAATCCTTGTAAATTCCACGGTAATTCAATTCAGGATATTCCTCATTTGTATATATAATTTGTTGTTTGGGCCCGCGTAGTCAACAATAAAAAACAGTGTGGGTCTAAATACAAAGAGAGTGTCTAAATATGTGAGGGAGATAGAAAGGGAGAGAGAAAATGATGATGATGACATCCAATTTTTTTCTCCTGTTTCTCATCAAAAATTAATTGGGTAAAAGTGGGGTAAATTACCCCACGCCAGTACTTACGTAGAAAAAACAGGCACGAGTAATGGAAGGTTAATAAATGATTAAGTAACCTTAAAAATCCTTAATAAAATAAAAAGCATAAATGATTAATTATACTTAATTACACCTAAAATATTTCAGAAATACACTTTTTATAGCAAACACCACTGCAAAAAGACTAAATACAGCAAAAGAATCATTCGAACATCTAACTGTACCAAACAATGGCGTAAATACAGCTGCATTTGATTAATTATCCACACAATGACAATCTAATTTTGGGGCGTATCGAGTTTTTTATTCTTTATATCGGAAACATTAGTCTCCTCTTTTATTTTTTACTGCAGTTCTGGTGCAATTACTCATACATTTTTATTATAGGTCTCAGCTGCATACTGTTAATTTTATTTTCACGAGAATCTACACTCTGTTGTGTCCGCGGGGTGAAATTAAACTTTTTAATTGTTGAAAAATAAGCGAACCTTGCGATTTCTATTTTTTGCTTTGGTGTTTGGTTAAAATATAAATATTTTATAAAAAATAGTTCATATTTTTACGTATATTTTGTTTAATATATTTATAATGTTAAAAAATAAACATTGCATTTTAATATTTCAGACTGTATATGAAACTTAACCTATATTTGATATTATTATTTCTATGTTTCAATAGAAGCGCATATTGTTATATTCTTTTGTATTTAAATTAGAAAATTATGGTTATATACTTAAAAATCTTTAAGTGGTAGTATCAGTCTTATAGAATGTCTAGTTTAACCAAAAGCAAGTTTGACATTTTACTTATAAATGATACTGTACAATTTATTACATATTGGAAATCTAATTTGGTTTTACGAAAAAATTAAAAATGAGTCATAAAAATAATTTTCAAAACCATTTCATTCTTACCAAAGAACATATTTTTCAGACAATATGAACAGTATACCGTGCTGGCAACTGTTACTTTTGGGTCGGCATTTACATGTGTGGAAGTAAATCGCATAGGGATCTTATTAAGTCGGAGTGAGAGAAATGCGACCGACCGACGCGACGCGCGACGATGTGCTGTTGCGGCGTTGCCGATACGCCTTTCCCTATCAAGTAAAGTAAAATCACAATCGCAAACCGCTTATTTTTAAAAGACTCTTTTTTCAAGAGATAACTAGATAAAATCATTAGACACGTTTCTGAGCATCTGAAATGGAATTATAAGGATATCGTTACGGTGTCATTTTTTATAACGAGAAAACGTCAGTAATCGCGATAATTTAAAACTCAACTTTTTAACATATACCAGGCCTCAAGAACCACTTTAGATATTGAAACTTTTTTTTTATTTTCAAGACCGGATATTTTACAATATGTTTACATAAGAAAAATTCGATAAGGTTGTTTTTTCCATTCAAAAATTCTAAACAATCCAACCATTTACTTTTAGAGCATAGCAATTTTCAGCAATCGTGTAATTTTTTTATTGATAAAGATTTTCACATACTGTCTACAAAGAAAATACAGCAGAAATATTAACAAAATTCTTGAAAAAACTACAATATAATATTTCTAATAGATTTCGAGATATCGATTTTTGAATTCAGAGTTCTAATAACGCGTCCACTATCGAACACCCACTTAATTCCACTTATTTTTACCAAAAATGCAAGTGTTTCTAGCTTGCACTTAAAAAATTCAAGCTATAGGGAAAATTACAACGACTCGTTAATAAATAAACAAATCAAGTATCACGAGACGTAATTAAATCGTGAAGCTGAACGCATGCCGTACACCTTTCCCTAGAACTTTAAGTACTGACAGAGGTATTGATTGGGTCGACCGGTCCACTGCGACAAATCTGCTATATCCCCTTCCACGTCTCTTAGCGATGTGCACAGTTTCTCGGTTTATTTCATACGTTTGGCAACGTGTTTACTGTCCTCTCTTTGTTCAGTACATTATAAACGCATTTTACTCTTCTTACATACGGAAATCTCGACCCAAGACTAACCTTTGCCAGCTCTTAGTATAAATAGATTTTCTATATCTCTCTCTACGGAATTATTACAAGTTATAGGAATTTGTTTCTTGAAATTGGCATCTTAAGTTTTTCTTAATTTAAAAATCTTGGAATGAGTTGTTAATTATTACTTGTTTACTTTGGAAACGAAAAAAATATATATTTTTCGTCATCACACAAGTACATAGAATTTCTATTTATGTTCGTAAAGTGCATTAAGCTTTTTAGGTAGACATTTTCTACAAAGCTTAATTCTATTAAGTTCTATATTGCAAAATATCTAGTACCAATCTCAATATCTAGTAATAACAATTTAAAAAGATTGTATCTACAAAAGATGATCTCTTTATGGTTAGCTAAATTGCTTCAGAGATTCGTACTAAAAAACATACATACAAAAAATATACTATTACGTTATTTGTATCAAAACAATAATTTATTGTGTGACGGTAATTCTCTAAGCTTAAAGAAAAGCTTTTAGCCCTCGTTTAGCCCAAAATTATTGACTGACATTTGTATTTTATCATTTGATAACGATTGGTTTATATGGCACCATGTCATCAAAGCGTAAAGAACTACAAAATAAATAATATTTTTAGAACAGATTTTTAGATAAGAATTATATAATAAAATATTTAACAAAACATTCCGTTCGGGTTTCTGTGTTATAGTTTTGTCTCAAACTCCAGTTGTCAATAAACTAATCTCTCTTTTATTATATTTAAAAAAAGGCTTTAAAACCTTTTTCATGCTGCCTTTATTTAGCCAAAAAATCATCTAAATATTTTCTATTCTAATTTAAATATTTGTAAATATTACAATATTAGAATTGTAGACCAAAAAGACAAATAGTAATGTACTCTAAACCTATTTCAATTCGGTTTGTAATACGAAATGAACAGTAGAAAGACTATATAATATTAAAAATAAAAAACCTAACTTTATATGCAGCACCTAGAGTGGTGCAAAGTTATAAACCTGTATTTCATTTTAAAATTTAATACTACGTGTCAGTTAAAGTGCATTTTTATAGAATTATTAATGTAAGATAACATTTTATGGGTTTTATGCGTATTATTCTGTTAGATATGCGTATTATTCTGTTAGATATGCGTATTATTATGTCTATGTTGTCTATATAATCTTATTTCAAAATGCACAACTGCAGTTTTAGAGTTTATTTTATTCATCTATTTATCCAACATGCATATTGAACAATAATCAATTTTTCGAAGAAATGCATTCTGTAGTTTACTATTTCTGTAGCAAAAAATAAACGCATGCTACAATATACAATAAATAGAATGTCAATGAATTTAAATCTAAAACAACTATTTTGAGAGTATATAAATGCATCGCCTCATTCAATAAGTTTTTAAGATAAAAAAAGGTAGATCATAGTTTCTTAAGTTATGATAAAATAATTTTTTTATCGCAGTATTATTCTTTAATATATCGAAAGAAATTTATGTTAAACTATAATTAGTAGTAATTTAAAAAAATCTATACAGGGTGTTTCGTAGCAAAAATAACAACAAACTACAGTAAAGTATGTATAAGTACATTAATAAAAAAGTAAGTAGGTAATATTTCTAAATATATCAACTTTTTTACTTTAAACGAAAGAAAATTAAAATCCCAATATGATACTGTTTTTTAATTTTTTTATTAATTAACAATTCTTTGTTAAAATATATAAATTGGGAAAAGTTTCATTTAAAATAAATTTTAAGTTATAAAAGATTTATTTTTTTTTCTCTTAGAGAACGTTTAAATAAAAAATACATATTATATCTATATTTTCTTACTTAACCCTCATTTAACAAAAAAAATATTTATTTTATGCGAAAGAACTTGAATCATTATATTTCTATTTGTATTAATGTTTTGAAATAAAATTTTCTTTAAGCAAAAACATATTAAATGAATTTATGTTCAAATTCTAAAAGGCAAAAATATAAACACTCTTTCAGTTAATTTTAATACCTAACAAACTTGTCTGTAAAAAATAGCCATAAACCTTATTTCCTTTGAAAAATAAACACTACGTGACATTTAAAGTATATTTTTTATAGAATTATGTATATAAGATAATATTTTTATGGTTTTATACAATTACAAATGCGCACTGTGCGAGCAAATATCAAATACACAGTTCGATGTAAAATGCTTATCTCTAAAATGAGTGACTGCGGTGTTTAAACTAGACATATGGGTTACATAAATGTAAAAAAGTGCATACGCTGCAGGCACATGCATTTATCAATCATGCATGTTGCACGAGAATCGATATTTCGAACAACTGTTTTCTGATATCCACTATTATTTGTACCAAGACAAAGAATTGAACATTTTACTAGGAATTGAAACGGGAAACTTCGCAAGCTAAAACTATTTTTATTGATGATAAAAAATTATTAGTATATACAAAATAATATTATACGCAAATATTTAATATCATAACCTAAATAACTAATATAATAATTTCATTCAATAAAAGATTATAAAGAAAAGGATATCATAATTATATAAATTATGATAATACTGAATAAATCCATTATATTAATTTGATAATTTTTATTGGATAATTTTATTTGGACACCAAACTTAACGAGACTATGAGAATAGTCAGCGGCTGTTTAAAAAGCACACCTCTACCTTGGCTGCCCACTCTGAGTCATATTGCACCTCCCAGTATTCGAAGACAGGAAAGACTCGTTAAGGAATATCAGAAAATATTATCAAATCCCCATCTTCCAGTCCACAACGACTTACCAGATGCCCGTCTGCGAAGACTGAAGTCTAGATCCCCCGCACTACTATTAGCAGAACAACTGTTGGGAGAAAACTTCAGTATAAATGATAAATGGAGGGAGTACTGGGACTCTTTGAAACCAGATCAAGCAGCTTATGTCATCGACCCTACAGCAGCTCTACCAGGGATGGAGCTACCCCGCCACGAGTGGAAGGTACTCAACAGGGTAAAAACGTCTCATGGCATATGTCGTGATTCTTTTTATAAATGGGGACTGACCGGATCACCGACTTGTGACTGCGGAGAACCACGTCAAACTGTTCATCACATTGTAACTGAATGCCCTCTTACAGCATATGGAGGAGAAGCGAGGGATTTCTTTGAAGCCACAGACACCGTGTTGAACTGGATCAATAGCCTGGATTTTAAAATTTAAGTGTACTTTTTGTAATATGTTTTGTGTATAACTTTTTAAATATCTAGTTTTATTTTTACAATTTGTGACAATCTGTTTACATGTTATATTGTGTTTGAATATATACATTTGATGTTGTAATTAAATCCATGTACGCCATACGCTAAATAAATAAATAAATTTGGATATAAAAAACTTTATATCCAATAAATCCAATAAAATGTTTCCTTCATTTTTGACAATTAATAAAGTAATAAAAACAAAAATAGAATTTTAGAGTGTACCTCAAGGCTCAGAACTAGGCCCTATTTTGTTTCTTCTTTTTATTAACGACATTGTTAACATAAACATCAGTGGTAAAATATGTCTTATTGCGGACGACACTAGCTTCACTTGGAGCAACAATGACGTCACGGCACTTCATAGGATTATATCAAATAACTTAATCACCACTAAATCTTGGTGCGATTCGAACCTCCTCAACATTTCTAAAACTAACGTTGAGACTAGAAAGTCTCAACATTTCTTAAACTAAAACTTTGTTGTATAAAAACTCGCTGCAGCCTTTTGTACTTAAAAACACCACCATTGACGGCGTAAAATCTGTAAAATTATTATGGCTTGTTGGAGACAATTCCCTGAAATGGGACATGCATATCGACGCTTGGTCGAAAAAATTAAGCTCTGCCTGTTTTGCATTAAGATCTGTTTCTAAGGATGTAAACTTGTCAGTGGCTAGAACTGTTTATTATGCACTTTTTGAGTCGCACCTCAGATATGCCCTCTCATTCTGGGGTACGTGTTGTGCGACTCAATTTGACCGCATTTTCAAGCTCCAGAAGAGAGTTGTTCGATATTTACTGGGACTAAACAGCAGAACTCATTGCCAGGACTTTTTTAAAAAATTTAAAAAAATAACTCTTCCATCCTTATTTTTATTTGAATGCGTTTGCCTAATGCGTAAACATGTATCAGCTTCTCAAGAAAGGCTATCTCACACTTATCCACTCAGGAACGCGGAGCGAGATCTTTATCTATCTACTCCACGCTATACAAGTCGAAAAAAATGCACAATCACCTGCCATTTGAAATCAAATCCATAACATCATATTCTTCATTTTGCAAAGCATTGAAATCTTATTTACTAGACAAGGCTTTCTACTTTTCTTACTATAAACTTACTAAATATTTTTGAATCTTATTTTTATTTTTTTATTCTTTGACATTGTAAACATTTATAAATGTTTATTTTAAACAATAAGACTGACAATGTAATTTGTATACTTGTTTTGTATTCTCTTTTGTTTGTTTACTTTACCTTTGTCTACAAATTGTAAAATTTTTTGACAATAAAGGCATTAATTTTACCGTTCTTATATCTGAATCAATTATCTACCAACATAATTAAAGTAGTACAACTTAATACAGGTATTAAAACAAAACAGAAATTAACTATATTCTAACATTATCCATAGTCATATTTTCAGACACATTGTGTATATTCCTTAACATAAGTATGATTTTTTATTAGTTTTTTTTTCGATTTTCAGAGATTTGATTGGCCGATAGCTAGACCAGTAGACGATGCCGAAACAATTACCATCGAACTCTATTCAAGAAATCGCCTGTTTGCAGACAAACTTATCGGATCTTACAAGTTGCTCTTGCAGAAAGTTGTTCAAGATGGCAGGTTATGCGTCTGTGATAGTCTGGTGGATAGCAATAATAAAACTATAGAGGTATGTGCAGAGACATTAGAATAGCTAGATATTATTATATTTACAATAAATAATGATTCAACATTTACTAAATTACTTTGTTCAGTATTTTTTTACAACTGACTTTTAAAAAATTTGAAAGTGTCAGATTATCTACATTTCTCCCCTCTTCAATTTCCCTCACCCATTTCCCTCACTCGGTTTTTCTTATTTCTCGCCTCATTTAATTAAGCAAAATATTCTTGTAATATCTTTATTAAATACTTATTTATCAACTTATTACTTACTACTACTTAAATACTTACTTATCAACAAAAATAAACAAGAAGATTAACAATAATAATTGAAGATTTTAATACATTTATTTGTTGAAGGTAAAAATGCTAGACTTCTTTGGCTTAAAACCTACATTCTGGCGTTTTAAAAAAGCGACGAGTTTGTGATGTTTTGATATGTCAGTCTTTTCCCTTAATTCTAGCATTGTCCGTATCATGCTATACGTAGCCCAAAGAGTAGATGGCTTTTTCTGCCTTGCCATGTCGCTAAAATATGCCATCAAGACTGTCTCCGATTACCCCAGTGCAGTTATGACATTCACCATGTTGAAATTGCAAAAATTTTTAGAAAGCTGCGACCATTGAAAATAGTTAGCCTTAGTAACCCTTATTAACATACTAAAAGTCCCCATTTGTCCGATGTGTGCGTCATCAAAAAAAATCGGCCGCCATCTTGAATTTTGGTAGTTTTTGGGAAAAAATGTAAATAACTCGAAAACGATTTGTTATAGCGAAAAACATCAAGAGGTAATTAAAAATTAAAGAGAATAAAAAACTCTATTAGAATCAATAAAAAATAGTTTAATATCCTAACGCAATGATGTACAAAAAAATTTTGAAAATCGAGCAATTTTTAAAAGGAACCACCGAAATGCAAATTACTAATTTTTTAAGCTTATTAACAAATAACATGGATATTTAGCATCAATTCAACTGAAATACAATTCTTGTGACGTTTTCAATAAATATTTTTTATTGGTGGGTTAATAATATTTCAAAATTAACAAAAATTGTAAACGCTATCCTTTACTAAATACATGTGTACTAATAATGTGCGAAAGCAGTCTCCACCTTGTCCTGGTCGAGGCTATTTGCACTTAAGCCAAGGTATTATTGTTACCATTTTGTAAACAATTTGTTTTTAAAAATACAGTGACAGTTTGAAAAATTATTCTACAGGTTAGAAGAAAAGCATAAAATGTAACGTAAACTGGCGACTTTCAAAACGTTGCAAAAAGATCCTCATCTGCGACAAATTACATCCGATTTTTTAGATCCTGCAGCACAAAAATCTGGGCTAGTCGAAGCTGGAAATACATTCTTATTTTCATTATATGGTCGACATAAGCTAGCAAAAGATTTAGATCAGTTGAGGTATTTTAAATATAAAGCCCTTACATCTCGTCAGGTACTTATAGTAAAAATTTTGATTTAGCTACCTTACCTCCAATAACAACTAACGCAGCTGAAAATCATTATTATAGGACCTATTTATAAATGCAGTATTGGCTAAATAACGGAGAAGAGGCAACAGAATGCGGATGGAGTAAAAAAACGGATACCTTAGTTCCAACAACAATGTCAAAAGCAGTGGCACCAGAATTTGTATTGAAAATGATTTACTGTAATTGCAAATCTGGATGTAATAAACTATGTACCATTGCGATAAAAAAGTAGTACAAGAATTACTAGTCCCAGATGGAACTCCTGGTCTATAAGGATATTTGAATTATATTGAATTTTTTTTTTGGATTTAGCCAACAACACTGTTTTTTTGTTTATTTCTAATGCATCTGCAATGTCCCTTATGGGTAAATATAATCCCTTAATCGCGTAAATATAATCGATTTTTGCTCTGAAGTTAAAGGCATTTTTTAAAAATTACGTGACACTGAGACAAGAATATAGACCAGCAGATTAAATCATATTTTGTTGTACTATTTTTTTAATCGCAATGGTACATGTTTAAAATTTAAAATCCAATATGCCATGTTTATGCTTGTGTGGTAACTGTAATTGTATTTCTTGCGAGAACAAACAAATATCGGTCGATGAAGAACAAATCGAAGAAAATTGTAAATTTCATTTTTTTTCTATAGATGACAGTTTGAAAAGTTAGGTTACAAGTTGGTAACACATTTTTATTAAAATGGTCATAATTTGAATTATTGTTATTCGATTTGTAGGGGTATGTTTATAATGTATTTATCATAATGAAAAAGTGTTAAGATTTTAGGTTAAGATCGTAGATGATATTTATGTCAAAAAGACATTCGCAAGTAGTTTATTACATTTTATCTTTTTCTTCCAACCTGTAGCCTAATTTTTCAAACTGTCACTGTATTTTTAAAAACAAGTTGTTTACAAAATGGTAACAAAAAGACCTTGGTTTAAGTGCAAATAGCCCTGACCGGAACAAGGTGGATGCTGCTTTCGCACATTATTAGTACACATGTATTTAGTAAAGAATAGCTTTGACAATTTTTGTTAATTTTGAAATATTATTAAACCACCAATAAATATTTCTTGAAAATGTCACAAGGACTGTATTTTAGTTAAATTGATGCTAAATATCCATGTTATTTGTTAATAAGCTTAAAAAAATAGTAATTTGCATTTCGGTGATTCCTTTTAAAAATTGCTCGATTTTCAAAATTTTTTTTGTACGTGACTGCGTTAGGTTAATAAACTATTCTTTATTGATTCTAATAGAGTTTTTTATTCTCTTTAATTTTTACCTCTTGAAGTTTTTCTCTATAACGCACCGTTTTCGAGTTATTTACATTTTTTTCCCAAAAAGTACCAAAATTCAAGATGGCAACCGATTTTTTTTTTGATGACGCACACATCGGACAAATGGGGACTTTTAGTATGTTAATAAGGGTTACTAAGGCTAACTATTTTCAATGGTCGCAGCTTTCTAAAATTTTTTGCAAATTCAAAATTATTTGCACTGGCCTAGGTGCAATATTCTTAGCATTTCTTTCGGCACACCATTTTTCGTATACTTTCAATGCTATTTCATATCGCCCCCTACTTTTCTCTGGAAGTAAACTGGCTTCTGCTCTTTTTGCAGCTTCTGTAAGTTCTGGCGGAGTACCAATATTAAAGTAATCTTCATTATCGGAACTTTCCGATAACATTCTGGCTTTCTATGTTATATAAATTCGAAAAAGCGAACAAGAAATTCAAAACTGTCACTTAGTTGTTTGTTTTGCTGTTAAAGGTTTGCCCCATAACAACCAATGATACCGGTAACTATAGATATGAAAATGCCAAAACAGAAAACGACAGATTTTCGCATATTTATTTTTTTTTTCAAAATAAAATACTGTTCCTATTTTTTAATTAATGATGTGGTTGTACATAAAATAGTATACAAACCTCGGAGGAAAGTTTGTATTATTGTCTCGAGATTTAGTTAATCTCTCGACAGTAATGAAACACTTCCCTCCTCGGTATGTAATATACTATTAACTTGTACTTTGACCTTCGTTGTTCTGTTTTTTATCTTTATATTACTTTAATTAAAGGTGTGACGACTTTTATATAGGTACTGCGTTTGATAAGGCTCTATTAGTTTGTCATATTTATGAGTGACTAACTATTTTATTGTTTTTAAACTGGCCTATATGTCCTATATACTTTCTAACTCATTAAAATGTCGTTAAAAGGTAGGTATGTAGTAAACAAAATCTTTTATTACTTTTTAGTAGGTATTTAAGCTGTAAACGCTAAGCCTGCACCCTTAAAACTGACATTTAAAAAAATAAATATTGTTTTTTATTGAACAAAAATTACTTTACATGTTAAAATGTATATCTTTCTGTCGCGTCATCGAAAGTAATAAAGAAAAAAAAATAAAGAAAATATTCTGTATGTTATGTTTGGCTATGGAAAAAGACTCGAAACATTAAACAAATGGTGTTGGCTGACTATATAAAGGATACTAAGAAATTATTTTACATAGATCCTTAAATTAGTGTTGCTTTTTATAAAGTAAAAAATTGTTAATATATGCCACAGGTTGTTTCAAACTTTCACCAAAATATCAAAATTTTGTTTTACCTTGTATAATTGACAGATGAAAACTTTAATTTTTAATTTAGAAAGAGATACTAAAAAGAAATCATCAAAATCGGCCCACTAGAACAAAATGTATTAAACTTTAAAATACATCAAAATTTTAAGGTGCCCGTTTTTTATGCAATTTTCGATAGTTGCTGTATTAATAGATTTTGCTTCTTTATTTTTATTATACAGAGTGTCCCAGAAATAAGTGCAAATATTTTAAGGGGTGGTAGATCTCGATAAAAGAAACATATTTTCTCTTTATCGTTTTTCAAATAAGTCCAAAATAACAGATTTATTTTACTTTGAAAATTTGCAAAAAAAAATTCTCAAAAATTTTTTGTTAAAATTTTGAGAATCACTGGATATTTTCTGGATTTTCTTTCTTGAAAATTTAATCTAATAGGTACTAATTATGTTTTTTAACTAAAAACTAAAAAAATTTCCAAGAAAATTCGAATTTTCATATTTTTTTTTTCGCGAAAAAAACCTCATAGGCGTGTTTCTGGGGTTGGACTATACTACCAGTTAAAATATTTTCAGTTATTTCTGGAACGCCCTGTATATCGATTTTGTGAGCTACATGATTAAAGAAATTAGGCTACAAATAATAATATAATAGGCGTAAATATAATATTTTAAGTAGCATTCATTATTTTAAATAGCATACTCTACAAGATGTTAATTATACTAATTTAATTTAAATACTTATTTTTTAATGTAAAATATATGTTTTCCATTGTTCGTCGCTAGATTCATCCACGAACCTTGCAAAATATTTTCAAGTTTCTATTTTACATACAAAGGCAAAACACAAGTTTTATGCCAAATAACCACAAGAATGATACAAATATTAGTTAAGGTACAAAACTTCTCAAAACCTGACATAGGCAG